CAATGCCATGTACCTCCTTGAGCTCTGCTTCAGGAAACCAGGCGGGATCTGAGTCCTCAACAACCTTAATGCCACATAGACTAGAATTCAAAAGGTCAGGTTCAACAGTGAACATGATCAAATTCGCAAATAAGCTTTACATCGAGTTATAATATTATATTCAAGATATTTGATATACATACAAATATGTTATGCTATCAATAATAAATCATATCTACGCTTTACTCTTTCTTCGAAATGTTCTAAATTTTGTAATCAAGTAAAAAGTAACTGAAAAACCTACTTATACAAAAGACCCTGAGTACATAACAAATTTATTGTCTTTTTATTATATCCAAAGAGTCTTTGAACTAGATTCCAATAAACATATGTGTAATAAATAATTAAAAATAAACGCTTAAGCGCAGTGTGAACTAAATACAGGAATGCCCACATATGTAAGTATGAATATTCCAATATTACTTTATGAAATGCTTATGATATATACATTACTTACCGTAATATGGCGACGAGTGGAATCCACAGTATGGATGAGAGGATCAATATGAAGGCGATGACAATGCACCAATGTGGCCATTCCATTTTCTCGGTGGCACCCGTGGCCGCGATCCAGGCCGGATAGCTGCTGCCCTCGGTCACAAGCTGGTAGAAGGAGGCCAGTAAGATGGTGACCATGGCGCAGGGCGACAAATACTTCCAGCAGAACATCCAGTAGAAGCCCGGCCTGGAGCCAGTCATCATCTCAATGTCATCGGAAAAACGCCTGACACCATAAATATAGCTGATCGAGAGGCACTCGAACAGCGCAATGATCAGCAGTGGGAAATTGCCGGCAAAGCTGTCCATTAGCTGAAAGATGTAGCTGCCAGCACCGTTGGCAAAGCACATGGAGATCATACAGCAGGAGAGGCACAGCGCCTACAAAACAGAAGGAGAAACAAAGCTGTCTTTTAAGCACTTAGGAGTTAGGTACGTAAGATACATACGCCCACGATATATTCTTTGGGCAGATTGGGAAAGAGTTTCATGTCCACCAGCGACGTGACCACGCCCTCCAATGTGCCAAACTGCGAATCTATTCCCAAGGTGAAGAGCATTAGAAAGAAGAGCACAGCCCAGAGCTGGGCGCCCGGAAACTGATTGATCGCCTCAGTAAAAATGATAAAAGCCAGTCCCGTACCAGACGCGCTCTGCCAAAGAGAGAAAAACAATTAAAGAGGAAATCGACTGTGGAAGAGTGGCAGGTGTCTCCACTCACATTGGCCAGCTCCTGCTGTAGATCGCATACTGGTAAGTTGTGCGTACGATTCAGGGCCACGAGGCCAGCTCGTTCTTCGGTGCAGCGGTCGAAGGTGGCCGTCGCCTTGAAGCCAATCACCGCAAAGACAACGACGCCCGCAAACATGGAGGTGCCGCAGTTGGTCATCGACACCAGAATAGCATCCCTGTAGCAATTGTTGTTTGCCGGATTGTAGGAGCTGAAGGCGATCAGGCCGCCAAAGGCGAGTCCCAGTGAGAAAAAGATTTGTGTGCCAGCCTCTAGCCACACGACCGGGTCGAGCAGCGTCTCCCAGCGGGGCGTGAATAGATGGGCCACGCCGTCGGCGGCACCTTTGAGTGTGATTCCCCGAAAGAAGAAGATTATGAGCACCACATACGGAAAGATGGCCGTCATGTAAACGATTTTGCCTGACGACGTGATGCCCTGCACCATGCAGATGTAAACCAAAAACCAGGACACAATCAACGCAATGGCCATGTGATAATTGAAGCTCTCCGGCATGTCGACGCTCTCCGAGCACTGCAGAGTGGTGCGATACCAATAAAACTGGGTCGGCGACGAGGCCACGCATTCCGGCTCATGGTCGTATGTATAGTTCTTATAAAGCCGAGTCGGACAGTCGGCCCACGGCAATGGCGACTCGAAGCTGTGTAGCAGATAGATCAGGCACCAGGCTATTATCGTGTTGTAGTAGAGCGCTACAATGAAGCTGACCACAGCCGACGAGATGCCAATGCCGCCCAGGTACGGCGACACCTGGCTCCACACCCCGATCGCTCCCTTGCGCAGTCGCTGGCCAATCGCCAGCTCCAAATAGAAGATCGGTATGCCCTGTATGCACAGCATTATGAAATAGGGCACCAGGAAGGCGCCTCCGCCATTCTTCTGCGCCAGGTACGGAAACCGCCAAACATTGCCCAGGCCAACTGCGTAGCTGGAAGTGAAGAGCAAGAATAAGAAGAAGACTTTTTTATTTGTAAGTGTACTCTGCGAGTGTGAAGAGTAGCTCACACCCGACTAGGAGATACCCAATGCGCTAAGCTGAACTGGGCTCAGCTTCTTCGTATTCTCTCCCATAAAATAAGAATATACATATATCAAATTGACTAGGCAGAACATTGCTAGCCCATGCGCGGGCTCAGAAATATCTCTGAAATATTATTGGGGAAGTCTATGGTATATGGTCTAAGTCTTCTGCTCCAAGACTATTTATCATATACCAACATACAAGTATTTTAATAGCAAAGATTTAAATATAAGATCTGGTGGTTGAATATGAAATTGTTAGAGCAGTATAAGCTTACCCAATGGTGGCTAGCAGAAACATGATTTTGCTATCCCAGCTCTCGCGCTCCTCGCCCTCCTTTTCGCCCTCAACGATGTCCTGCTGCTGCTGCGGTTGCTGCTGTTGATCCACGTTAGATGAGAGCTCAGCCTTAATTCGGCTAGTGCTCGCATCCGAGCCGAAAGGCGGCTCCTGCTCCAATTCAGACGACTCATCGAAGGCATCGGACATGAAGCCCTGATTTGTTGCGCCGTACATGGGCTGATGATGGTGATGCAGCGATGTGTGATGATGATGACTGACGCCATGCTCCTTGGGCACCAGGCGGCCGCGCAACTCCTGCGTGCATAGAAACGGAGTTTTTCTCAAGTGGGTCAGACTTATAATATCAACTCACTCGCAGTTCCAATTGATCGATGCTCCTCTGGGTCTTGAGCACAATGTCGCGCGAGCTCTGACGGCGTAGCAATTGCGCTGTGTTCGCCATAGTCGATGTTGCGTTAAACAGTAAAAGTGTTCTTGTAGTTTATGTTTTGTATTGGGTGCTTTGCTTATTTATTTATTTGAATCGTTGTAAGGAGAGAGAAAAATGCTTGTTGCAAGTGGGAAGTCGGCAAATGCTTTTGTGCAGGTGCTAATTGAAATACACTTGCTGCTGAGTGCCACTAGTACTGCTTGTCTCACTGCTTTCGGTGCTGTGCTGTGTTGCTCAGGTGACTAACGGATCGATCGACATTCGCATTGCATACTTTTGTGCACTAAGTAAAATTATCACTGGACGCCATCTTAATTGCAGTTTGTGTCAGTTTCCTTTTTACTTGGCAGTGAGAGAATAAGTGAGAGAGATAGAGAGAGAGAGAAAGTGCTAAACAAAAGGTAACTTCGCATACACGGGCAACTGAAGTCGAACGTGAAATAACTGAATGGAACGTAAACGTATCATGCAGACATAACAATCAATCAGCGTAATTACAAATAATAAAGACAACAAACATTCCTTCCGCCAGGACACCCACCCAGTGGCAGTTAGAAGAGTGAAAGCGCCCCTTCCATAATAAATCAGTCAAACAAACTTCACTATAGCTATCCCGCAATGGACGCACACACACACGCGCAGACAGACACACACAAATACACAAACACGAGCGAGTACCTCAACACCCACGCAGATTTATGGGAAAGGGTTTCAGTCTAAAATGCTGATAAGGTGCACAAATGTAGCCATAATAATGGATTTACCCAATAAGATATCACAAAGTGCCACAAATGAAACTGAATTTTGTATTATAGAAACCTTGACTCATACATATGTAAAACTCATTTACTCATTTATATTTCAACGATTTTTAATTACTTGATGGTAATTAAGTTGTGCATTCATTGCATTTCACTCTATTTGCATAAGCTACCAATTTGAAGTGCAAATAAAAAACAATTATTATGTTTCAAATGTGAACTAGCGCCGTTAATTAATAAACAACTTTGCTGCCTAATTTTCGGCTGGCACTTTTACACCTACATATATTTATATATACATGTATATTATATATATGCATATATGGTATGTACATATATAAATGCTGGAACCTTCACTTATCAATCTGCCTTATATAACGATGCTTCAAATCGAGCGTAGGCCAAAGGACTCGTTTTTTACAATGTCTGCACGTGCGGCTATGCAGGTAAGCGTCCAGGAGGAAGGCTAAACTATCACCCATTGTAAGGTCACATAAATATGCATTTATGTCCATATATACATATATCTTTATGAACGTACGTGCTTATCTTAGTATGCATGTATATATGTACAGCTAATACAAGCTAATCAACTTAAAGTCTAAAAACGGGACGCAAGGACGCGCGTCGCACTGCTGGAACTGCAGGAAGATGACAAGAAACTGTTGAGCAGACGGGATGAACACCAGGAGTCGCACTCACTGAGCTCTGTTGCTCAATTGAGCGCGCGCGCAGTCCACAACCAGGATACCTGATGGCAGGCAGCGTCAGTTAGAGCGAGACGGCAGCAATGGAAGGCGCCTGACGCTATGAATGGGAAACGCTTTGTGTAAATAGAAAAGGCCAAAACAGAGAAAAGGCCAGCAACAAATTAGGCCACAGCCACCACTGAGAGGCACAGCTGATTGGCATATGATTTTACATGTGCGCAACGAATTCTCAAATTCAAAAACAGCTACAACCGTTACTGTGGTATCGGAAATCAAACATACATATGTAAGTCGTTTAACAGCTAATCAGCGTAAGCGGTACAGAAATTCGCAATATTCTGAACTAACGTCAACGTAAAACTACACATGCTCGTTAAAGCTGTTAATGCAAAAACATATGTTCAATACGTAGAAAAGTAAATCAACAATCGTCACAGAAGCAACAGTAACGTAATATATCGAATGAGCGCAGCGCAAAGTAAACCACACGTTGCGATATTTAGCGACATTTGTTTTTGTTGTTGGTGCCGCTTACAGGCGCTGTAAATGGGATCAGTTGCCAAAAGATTTCATAATTAGCCCAAGCAAACTGCTGCGGACAACATGGTCTTCAAATGCCAAGAAGATAGCTTCTTAAAACAGGTAAGCACCAAAAATTTCTTGTAAATGCAGGAAACGATGACATTAACGTTGACAGTTCCGAACGACCGTCGTCTCCTGCGACTATGCCACTTTAGAGTGGCCCGGAGAGGACAACAGCACAGAGCCGCGAAAACTGCGCGGCTTCAACGTGATCTGCGAGAATACCATTCTGTTTCCAGAGGGCGGAGGCCAGCCCTGCGACTACGGCACCATCAATGGACATCCGGTGCGTAGTGTCCAGCGAAAGGGAAACACAGCTGTTCACTTCGTGGAGTCGCCGAACAGCTTTGAGGAGGGTGCCGAGGTTCAGCAACATTTGGATTGGGGCCGACGCCTGGACCACATGCAACAACATTCCGGTCAACATCTTATTACCGCCCTGTTTGATCGAGAGTTCAAGTATGACACCACGTCTTGGTCGCTCGATAGCAGTGTCTCTCACATTCAGCTTAGCACTCCCCATCTGATTAGCCGCGAGTCCCTCGATTTGATTGAGCGACAAGCCAATGATCTGATTCGCGACGGTCGCCCTGTCAGCGTGTTGCTCGTCGATCCAGAAGTGGCGCAAGAATTTCAGGACGCACGCGCACCTCGTGGACTGCCCAAGGATCACGAGGGACTTGCACGTGTTGTGCGCATCGAGGGCATAGAATCTAACATGTGCTGCGGCACACACGTTACCAATCTGTCGCAGCTGCAGTGCATCAAACTGCTCTACGCCGAAAAGGTCAAGGCCAATGTTTTGGTTTACTTCGTTGTGGGCGAGCGAGCATTGAGGAAGCTTGGAGAGGTCTTCGCACGTGAGCAACAGCTCACAGTGGCGCTCAAGTAAGAAGCCCCATCTCAAGATAAACTATTTTTAATAAATTCAAATGTTTTAGGGGCGGTCCGCAACAGCATCTAGAGCTTGTTCAAAAGCTACATCAAAATATAAAATCCACACGAAAAGCGTTTCAGCAGCTGCTCAAAGATTTCGCCAATGCAGAAGCTGAGCGCCTGGAGAATCTGCCCAAAGCTGCCCGACCCAAATACTTTGCGTTGCATCGACGTGATGGCATCGAAGTAGACTTTATCAACACATTTTTGCGGAATGCCCCCGAGGAAATATTCTACTTCCTCACCGTCTCTGAATGCGTGGCCAGTGGCAGCGCAGCCAAAGGGCATATGGTACTGCGCGGGCAGCCATCGCTGGTGGAGCAGTTCGGGCCCCAATTTATGGACCTGCTTGAAGGAAAGGGCAATGGCAAGGAGAACAACTACCAGGGCAAGATCACAAATCTAGCCAAGCTACAGGATTGCAACGCTTTGCTGGAGGCTCACTTTAAGCCAAAGAAAACGAACCCAGATCTGGCGGCCGCTTCATGAAATGGCATACGTTTTAAAATTACAAATTATAATTTGTACTATTTTGCGGTTAGCTTCTTTAAAAGATGTACATTTTATGAAATTAAACATAACTAAACAGAGGTACCAGGCACGTTCACCAAATGGACCATTCAGGGGAATAGTATCACAAATAATTGATGTCGTAGTTGCGCATTTTCCACTTGAGACGCCAGAACTCATTCCAGAATCCCACGTCAATGATGCGCTCGTAGAAATTAGTATAGCCCACGGTCGTGTATTCGCAGATAGCAGGGTAGGTACAATCGTCCTCATCGTACAAGTCGACCCACATCAGTGTGAAGAAGCCGAGCGAGAGTAGACGCAGCTTCTTCTGGTTGATGGCACGCTCCAACATAATCAGGTATGCAGCTGACTCTGGATTCTGCTGGGCCGGTGGAAGGGTTATCATGCGGTTGGTGTAATTGCGCATCAACGTCAAGAAGGTGAGTTCGTCTGGATTGTGTTTGGCCATCTGGTAGAGGGCGACAATACCCATGCCATAGGCGAGCGATTTCTTGGGTTTCGCATAAGACTCCTTGATAACACCAAGACCCACTTCGGAGTAGTCGCGCAAAAGTCCTTTCCAGTAATTCGCCCACTTCTCAACGACAGTACCCTTGAAGCGGGCCGGCAGAGTGAATTTCTCGTCTAAACGTGCACGCAACGCCGTCATACGACTGCCCACCTTAAGCAAACGCATTTTGTGGCACTGAAACAAAATAATTTAATTCAGGTTAACACAACATAAAATAAGAATCCAAAATTGTTACGTTTTGTTCCGAGGTTTAGATTAATTATCGAAAGTAATGTATGATAGTTTGATATTTTTCTGTGTTTCTGCTATCGAAACCTATCGATATGCTTGTCATGGCAGCAAAATAAATAAATACGTTTCATTTGTGATTTAATTTTAACAAATTGCGATTAAAAATATTAGTGGTTATTGCTCCAAACCCCATTGAATTAATTTAAAAAACTTTAATTCAAAGAATGTGTTTACTGAACTGTCAGTTTTATATTCATTTTTAAACTTTAATGATTGATTTTCCATAAGAAACTTCCATAAACTTTTGTTCATTGAAATTCAGCGGAACGATAGGCTAACTATCGTGTGATCTTGTAAAATTGGCTATTTGTGCCCTTGTTTGTTTTACAAATCGATATACTAATATCGTTGGCAATTACAGAGTTGTTTAGACGTCGGTGCTGCCCGCGCGTAGCAATATAATAATTGCATAAAAAACAAAACAAATGCTATTTCAGGGTTTTTAATAACTATTGTGCCGCACTCAATCGCGCGTGTAGACGTTGCGTCCACAGTCTGATTCATGCCAACGTCACACAATAGCTTCTCCAACCACTCATACAGTTGCAAGCGCTACACAACTCGCCTGCGCTTCGCTGCGCGGTTGGACGACGACGTCGACCACGACCACCAACAACCACAAATTTCATTTATCAAAACGTCATTTGCGCCGAACACTCGCATTTCATAGTCTCGTCAACGGGGTAATTACAGCGCAAGCGAAGACGTTTATTATTTCTGTTATTTTGATTTTGCTGTGGCAGCTAGAGAAAATTTTGTGCCCCCATTGAAAACGTAAGAGAAGCCTTAAATTGCAAATCAAAGCTCCCAATTAAAAGGGTGCAAAAAAAAACTTGTTGCTGCTCGCTGCTGAGGCTGAGCGTCGGCAGCAGAGAGCATTGTGAAATTCAATTTGAGCAAACGCAAACCAATTGAAAACCACATTCGCCAAACTGGAGAAGTGGAAGAGAACACGCAACTCCACTAAGAAGATGGACAAACGCCAGCGTAGTCCATCGGGCGCTTCATCATCTACAGCGGCAGCTGGAACTGCAACTGCAACATCCAATGCCGATAACACAGTTCTAGAAGGTATATGCCAATTACACTTAAATACACAGCATATATATATGTACAATATATTTATTTGAATTATACACGTACATAAAGTTATAGATGTATGCATGTGTATGTTTTATTTTCATATGCATGACACACCAGCCAGCCTGTAAACGTGTGTACATATGTATGTAGCATGTATAAGCATGCATGTATACATATTGTACATACATACATACATATATTTAACTAACGGTCACCTCGTCTGGGAATACTTTTATCAACAAAGCTCGAGAACAAAGCAGGCAACCAAACAGAATGGCTTTCAGGTCCTACCCACAAGCCGAACCACCTATAAATAAAACTACGCATTAGCTGCTTTTTTATCCTAGCAGGGGATATGTACACGTACATCCACACATATATACGCATACAGCCATGCATGTGCATGTATAAGCGTATGAATGTGTGACCTGTTGATTGAGCTATTTTTATGTGAGTCCCATTTGCAAACGCGAGTCGACTTTGAGCTTGAGCCTCATCAGAAGTAGCTCACTCATCCGTCTGTCAATGTGAATACTAATGGTTATTTTATGATGGGATCTCCCGCTTAGACAGATTAGTCCAGATTATATATGTATGTACATATGTACTCGTACATATGCGTACACGAATACATACATACATACACTTTTTAATACAAAATAAGTATGTGATATTTAGTTAAGCCACCTGATAGTAATTATCTATGAAGCTAGCGAAAATAATGTTAATATCGTGTTTTTGTCATACAAATTTGTTAGTTTTTTTTTTCAGACAGCAAAGGAGAAAAAAATTTTATTGTTATTAATATGTATGCATTTACACAATATTCGTTATACATACATATGTATGTATGTATGTAAGTCAGTAGTATAATCAATCGAATCTACACTTGCCAAAATAAATATGCGTACATGCTGTACGCAAAACTGTGGTGGTTCAAAAAAAAAAAACTTGTAGGTGTGCAGTTGACAAAATGATATTTTTTTTATGAATAAAACATTTACAACCAATTTTATGTCGCTATGACATAAATCTTCGATTACGATGAATTAAATTCAAGGATATGTTGATAAACGCATTGATAGAGGAGTGAGGAGTGGCTTAAAATACCGCCCAAAATTAGTACAAAATAAAAAATTACAATGCCAAAGAAATTGACAGAGACTATTAAAAGGAAGAGGTATCCCACGTCTTACTTAATTTAATTTTATTTTAATGAAAAGGTTTTTGTTGTGATCTTAAGGTGTACGCATACTTTTTCTGGTCCGAAATCCGATGTTTTTTTAGTCTTTTAATTATAAAAAAATAACCAAATATCATAAATTGGCTTTAAACGTTTCATTATGAATGTGTTATTCATCAAAAATATCATTTTGTCTACAGTACATCTACAAGTCTTTTTTTTAACCACCAAAGTTTTGCGTACAGCATGTACGCATGTACGTACACTTCCATTATATGAAATACGAACCACAATGCAGATAATCAAGTTCTCTCATAATCGGCTCGAAATACTAACTCAACTTGATGCCCATACAAATACATACATAAATAGATAAGTATGCCTATGCATTCATTTATTATTTATTTACTATGCTCGATGTAACTGATCTGTTGCTTGTCGCCTTCCCAGCTAATCGAAGCAGCACTATTCGATTTGAATTTTAGCTGCAATCTCGTTGAGAAACGCCCACATTAACGCATTGTTTTTTGTACATTCCACAGGCGTGATGTACAGCATATTTGATGGGCTGACAGACAAGGATGAGCACGTTCGCCAGGCCATGCAGCAGGCGATTGTGAAGATCGTGGAGGCTCATCCACTGCGTGCCACGCTCATACTGACTGACTATCGCGCCAAAAACCCTAAGCTTAGCGAACAAACTGTCTCCATGCTGTTGGAGTAAGTGGATGCGATTATATCAAGCCTCTGCTGATTTACTTACTTCTTTAATATATTTGCCAGTTGCATCCATCAAGTGGTTGGGTCAGACACACCACTACCAACAGCCGCCAATGAAAAGCTTATTGCGCTGGCCATCGAGGAGCTCACACGCAGCGTGGATCAGCATGTGCCATTGATACAGAATCCCTCGCTGCATATACTAGTGTGCATTGGCCGGGGCAACGACTGCAACCTGGTCGTGGAAGCACTGCAGGCGCACAGCACCTCATCGAGCAATGTGCCGCATTTTATGTTGATGCAGTGCCTCGGCCAAATGGCTATGGCCAATACAGCAGGTGTGGTGCCACACATCAAGACAATACTAGCGGGTTCTTTGCCGCATTTGGGTGGCATTAAGCAGGACCATGTCAAGCTCGCGTACGCTTATGCAATCGGACGATTCAGTGAGGCGCTGTTAGAGCACGGCACTAACACGCCTACAGTTGAAACGAAAGCAGCAGCCACTTGCGTGACGGAGATCAGCGTTGCCTACGACGTACTCTTCAACCAGTGGCTGCACTCTCGCGAGCCCAAGGTGTGCATGGAGATACTGCAGGCGCTATCCAGCATGTATCCTCTGCTGTCTAGCGACCGGATATTGGATCAGGCACCGCGATTGGTGCCTCAAATACTAGCGCTCTATCGGCGCAGTGTCGATCGCAATGCCGTGACACAATTCCTCTGTTCGGTGCTGAAAACAAATCTCTCAATGCACGCCCAAGTGTTGGATGGTGTGGTCGATACGCTCATAACACACCTGTTCGATTTAGTCTGCGTCTATCCGGACTACGAAAAGCCACAGACGGTTAAGGGCCACTACGAGGTCTTGCGCTGTTTTCACCTCCTGGCCGGCAGCTATGCGGCGAAAATAATGGACACGTTGCTCATCCACCTGCGCAATAACAGCGAACGAGAGCGGATCAAATCACTGCTCATATTGACGCACCTGCTCAACAGCTGTGCGGTTCACATTGAGAGTCGCATCCAGGCGCTCATCGAGTGCCTAAAGCAGCTGATACTGGCTGAGCGCAGCGTTAAAATGAAACTCACGTTGCTGAAGACGATTGTGGCCCTAGCGCAGAAGTCACTCATACGGGACAAGGAGTTCGTATGGTTTGTGGTGCGGCACAGCTGCAAATACAGCAAAGTAAGCCAGGAGCACGGCACATCGGAGGAACACGCCACCCTGGTAGTCAGCTGCGAGAACGCCCTCTTCATGCTCGCCTCGACCGTGGGCACCCTGGACGAGCTGCTTAAGCGTGAGCTGCTCAACTACTTTCTGCTCCTGGACTACACTGACATTTGTGGCAATCTGGCCAAGTGCTTGGCCAGCCTATTTGCCAAATCGCCGCACATAGAGTATGAAATAGCTAGCGATGAGGACCAGCCATCGTTGCCAGCGGCAGCTGGCGTAGAGGGGGCGGCCGGGAATGAGGAACGCGGTGCGTCGGTTAAGCGCGGCAAAGTGATCGTTCCAAGTGCCGACAGCATCTATGCCCGCTGTCTAGCGCTGCTGGGCAATCAGCAGTGCATCAAGCGAGCATCGAACATATTAAGCTTTCTCAAGTATTATTACCCGCAATTGAATCCGGCTCTGGAAGAGCTCTGGGAGCGTCGCTTGTCCGATATGCTGCTGCACATTAACAAGCCGCAGGCGTATCTGCAGCAGCTACAGGACTTTGTAATTGAGACGAACGAGCTTCTGGGTACGCGCGATGAGCACTTCCCCCAACGGCTGGCAGTCAAGCTAGCAGATCAAATGTATTTGTATCCCATGCAATTGCCGCACTCGGAGTGGCAGCTGCCCGATCTGAGCGCCGAGCGCGGCATGCTGCTGCAATCGATGGCGCTGACACTCTGCCAGGTGACAGACGTCGCCTGCATCCATACGAAGATCGATTTGATAGTGACAACGGCAAGACAGGAACGTCTCGACAAGCACGTGAAGCACGCAGAGTACGAGCAACGCATCGAACCCTGCGCTCGTGCCCTCGGCTATATAGCACGCCAGCACTTGGCACATGTGATTAAAAAGCTATCTGAACTGGCGCTAATGGGCGGCCGCAAGCATTCGACAGGCTTCTTCAGCAATTTGCACTTTATTAAGGATACGCACAAGGAGCTGGAGAACTACAAGAGCAATCTGCTGGTGGTGAAAGCATTCGGCCACATCATGGACGAGGCGGATCCGTTGCAATCGCTGCAGCATCTGGACGATGTCATGCTCAACTTTCTAATGACACAGCTGGCCGACCACAAGGACCAAACCATTATGTCAGCCATACTGCAGACGCTGCTCAGCATTTGCAACCAGCTTATTGTCACCAAAGAGCAGCTGCCAACCCCGCTAAAGCATCGCAAACAAATCATGGAAACTGTCTTTAGCATACCTATTGAATCGCCCTTTAGCGACTTGCCCCTGCTCCCCACTATTCTGAAGCTGGGCACTGACTTCATACGCATCGGTGAGTAAAGGGTTGGAGGTTGAACGTAAAGTCGACTCTAACGCATTTTGTATCCTTACATTTTTAACGACAGGCGGCAGCGATAGCTCCGAGTGCGTCGACGGCAGCGTCATTTTTGAAATAGCTTGTAAAAACTTCTTCGGCTGCGCTCGGCAGCTAAAAATGAAGTTTGACTCACAGGAAGAAGATGAGCACAACAGCTTTCTAGCCAAGCATCTGAACGAGTCGCTTCCGCAGCTCAACTCTTTGGTGCGCGCCATAGTCGAGCTGGATGCATCGCCCTCGACGCTTGACTTAATCATTGGCATACTGGAGTGCTGGATGCGTGACAAGAACTCCGAGGTGCGCATTTGCGCGAGCCACGTGCTCAATAACACTCTGGAAGTCTACATTAAGTCCATGAAAATTGGCGGCTGCGAGGCACCCTCGAAGTTCAACCAAACGGGCCAAATGCTGGGCAAGATTGTGCCGCGCTGCATCGACTCGAACGGCACTGTGCGCCAAGTCTCGGTAGACATACTCCAAAAGACTCTAGAGATCGCTTGCATCTACGAGACGCTGACTATTGCCAGCATCGACAGCAGCGCCGAGTGGCTGAAGGAGATTGAATCCATCAAGGAGCACATCATCACGGACGAGCCTAAACAAATCTATAATCTAGCTGGCGACATTGCCAAGATTATAGCGCAACGCATTTCCAGCTTTCAGTATTTGCAATTCTGGTCAGTATCTCCAAATAGCGTCTACCACGTCATTTATGGCCTTGGCTTTCTGCCTTCTCCTAGATGTTTGTGTTAGCATAGGCAATTCAACACTCTTCGCTATTCATATACTCTTTATTTATATTGCTACCGTCTGTAGTCTGTTACAATCTGTTGCCTGTTTGAAAATATTCACTTATTGAATAATCAATAATTTCTAGTCGCTTCGTAATGCGTGACAACGTCGTGATCAATAATATTGACACTTCCTGTTATATATGCATATTTTCACAAAAACTTTTCGTGTCGAATTCTTAACTTCAATGTGTTTGGTGCATAAAAACAAACGAAATATAAGCTGCTGCTATCTCTCTCCAACTCATGTAATTCTCCATTTATCCATCTCACAAATTATGCTTCTGGCATACTAACATTTTTCATATATAGCGAAAATAAATTTTGGGCATAAATAGAGCTTATAGCTATGAATATATCAAATTCATGTATTTCTTGTCCTGCTCTATGAATGACGACTACTAGAGTATGTAAAATAAGTTAATTTCAACTCAAGCTGTCGAGCCCTTTGTCGTATATATTGTTTTTAGTCAGTCTTAACCACTGAGGAATATCTTATATGGGAAGAGGCATACTCAAACTCACACAAATAATCAAAGCTGACGGTCATGAACCTTTCTTTTGCAGTAAAACTTTGTTGCAGTCGCTGCGCGACCCAGAACAGAGCTCCACAATTGGGGCGAGCGTGGTCTTGAAGTTCTTCATACAGCAGAAGGGCTCGGAGCTATTCCATGCGATACCCGATCTGGTAAAGGGCAGTCTCTTGGCGCTGCAGCTGTGTGATGTGCCTCGCGCCAAATCGGGGGTACTGAAAGCTCTGGTAGCCTTAACCAATCACCATCCGAAGCTTGTGTGCGCAGAGATGCTGCAGCAGCCGCTGCCGTACGACGAGCACCTGGTCGAGTACTGGCATCTGGTGTGCAACGATGCGGAGCTCACCGGGCTGATGCTGGACAACTTTCTGCAGCTGCTAAGCGGTGCCTGCTTGTGCGAGCCGCAGGATGGGAGCAGCATATCAAGCGATCGCCAGAGATTGGCCAGTGCGCAGCCCTTTGCTATATTCTGTGCCATGCACGAGATGATGCCCTGCAAGGACATACGCGATGTAGGTAGATGTACAATCCAGGAATTCTTCATTATCCATTAATATTCGATTTTGATCATGCAGCAACTGGAAACGCGATTTGCGGATATATTCAGCATGCTGTTGACCTCGTTGTCCAGCTATACAAATTTGGCCCCGCCTATGCCTATGGCCCCGCCGGGGAGCCCAAGCCAACCGAACAAGTCGTCCAGCAAGTTTGGCTTTGTACCCAACAAGGAGCTGATCAAACTGAACCCCTGCCAAATAGCGCTAGAAACGTTCCAAGCATTCCTCAACAACCTGGAGATGGAGCAAATTGCCACGGTACTCACAGTGAACGCGCAGCTCGCGGCCAGCACTGACTGGCACAGTTATATTGAGCTTTTGACTCCCATGGCCATTGGCTTGGTCAATGAACTGCAGCTAACTAGCCCCGGAATGCGTCAGCTGGTTAATGCTCTGAGTAAATATGTGGCATCGCCTCATGATGGCCAGCGCGTTGCGGCTGTCGGCCTGTTCTCGCGGCTAATGCCGCTCAAGCCATGCGGCGAACTGGTCAGCTGCCTAATGCTGAATCTCGGCGGCGCTCTCAGCGATCCCAATGCTGTGGTGCGCGGACTGAGCCTGCAGGGCATGGGCTATGTGGGTCAGCTGGGTGAACACGAGGCACCGCGCTACTCGGAGATTGCAATTCAGGCATTGCTCAAGGGTGTGGACGACACCGTTGGCGACTGCCTCATCAATATACCATTAGAGAGCATGCGCGGTCTCTCCCGCATACTGCAGGCTCTGCCCAGCGATCGTGTTGAGCCCTTCCATGTCTCGCTGGCCATACGCATACGGCCCTTCTTTGGCAGCTATTCGATGGAAAGGCGTGAGGCGGCCATTATTCTATTCGGGGACTTGTGCGAGTCGAAGCATGACGATGGCAGCAGTTCGCCCACCTCATCGATGGAGGCTTTGCGCGAACAGCTCCTTGCCAACCTGTTCCCACTGCTCCTACATCTGAGCGAGAGTGAGCCGACCATTGTGAGCGCTTGCAAGGGCACCTTGCGCCGCGTCTGTCGCCTGTTGCGCGCGGTGCGCGTCAACGAGATCGCCCAGCAACAGCTGCTCAGTGATGCCGATCAGCTCAACTACAACAGTTTTGTTGTCGACTTTGTCAAAGTGATCGTAAGTGCTAGATTATCAACGTTGCTGCCGCTAATGCTAATGCTAATGTTGATCTAAACTCATTGAACAGGCACTGGAACTCACGGAGCACATTCAGGACTTCATAGACTCGTGCATGCCCAAGATGCGCAGCCAGTGGCCAGAAGTCCGTGGTAGTGCAGCCATTGTCATCGGTGGGTGTCTCTCAGCTGTTAAATGATATTATCTACGTTTCATTAACCACATTTGTACACGCAGGCATATTACATAATTTCCTAAGCGATCGGAATGCACAGACCGAATCCGTGGCCGGAAAGATTGCTGTACTGCTCAAGGATGAGCAGGTGACGGTACGCGTACGGGCTGCTCAGGCGCTGGGCTATTTCTTTGGAGATATCTAAAAGCAGAAGTACCCTGCGGCACACGGGACCAATATGAACGCAACATGGATTTTACTAAGTATAAACAAGAGCTACACAGCACACCAAACACTACACACACACACATGCATACATACACACATACCAGTAGTTTTTAGTATTTGTTCGAGATGTGATCCCGCATACGCCTTTTGTAACCTTATTATGTTTGATATCCGTTTAACTTAATTGTTCTGTTGATTGTATATGCTTTTTAAGCGTATATGTATATATACTTAGGCGTACATGTACGCAAGTCGTTAGATACTTGAATATTGAATTCTATTTATATATATATATATATATATATATATATGTTATCCCATAAAAACCTAAAAACGCGACAAATTTGGTCTTGTGCGCGATCAGAGCTGTTACAAGCTGTTATCCGGCTTGCAAGCACCCACTCAATATATTCTTACCACTATTCAATAATTTCAGCTCAGCTTATGATTTGTCAATTACTTGTACTTTCCACTAACGAAGACTATTAGAATGTAAGTCACACTTTAGCACAAGATCAAATGCTACATTGTCAGCGGACTGTTATTTTAATTCCAACAATGTTATTTTGTGTACCTTTATTAACGCTTATTAAACCAAATATATAAAAATAAATACATGCGGTTTGATTGGACTTGATCAATCCAGGCCATAGAACTGTATGCGGCCAGTCGACCAGCCAATGGTCAGTACTGAGCGTTCGTTATCCTTGTTCAACGGCTGGAAGCTGATGAAGCTGGGATACTCCGACGGTGATTGGCCATTTAAGTAGTAGCCACCGGATATTTGTAAGTCGTACTTCTGAATGTATGTGCGGAAGATGGCTATGGAATTGGTCGACTTGAACGTGATTACGACATATTTGCCGTGCGGATCCCATACCAGCTGTTGCGCAGTGCCGCCAATGAATTTGTGGTTGCAGCTATCCAAGCTGCACGCATTCAGATCAGCCACGGGCAGCACCTCCTTATCATCCGCTTTCGCTATGGAAACATTAATGCAAAACTCCCAATATGAACTCCCATTGAAAATTGATTTGACATAAATATTGTGGACAGCATTATACAGACGATCTGGAAGCTCAAGCAGTCGCCTACCTGTTGCATGCCAACCTAACTAGTTTTACCATTGCTCTCGGGCAAAATTCGTAGCGCATGCTTGCAAGCAATTCTGGACAAGCACGCTGCTGGATGCACCCGTAAATTTGAGGACTTATGTTGAATTGGAATTGAATTGACTTACATTTCATGAGAATCAGCTGCACAAACTGAAGACGATATAAGATAGGATCGGCAGTGTTCACAAATAGTAAAAACCGGCCACAGGGTGACCAGCAGCAGGCCTGAACGTTGCCTCCATCGCAAACCCAGCGATCCGAAGTCCATTTGTTGTGACATTTCCAAACGCGAAAAACGCGATCTACTGTTGCCGCAAAGATCCACTCGTTGTTTGGGGACCAGCTCAGCAGCGAGCCCGGTGGACCAAGACGCTTCAGTGGCTTCACCGTCTTGCTATCCGGATGCCAAATGAGAATGGCGCGATCGCCAATGGACGAGCTGGCCAGCAATGTGCCGTCCTTGTTCCACTTTAGCGAGCTAATCGGTAGATTTCTCGGACTGCGAACATAAACACAGATAGGAAGCTAAGTAATGGCGGGCAAGGGATTTCGATTGACGTACTGTTTCAAGATATAGCTGGGATTGATAATGCGACCCAAGTGCAGATTGTTGTCAATTATCCAAAAGCACAAGCCCTGGCTACAGCCAACCACCAGCTCAAAGGCGCACAGCGGCCGCCAGGCCATGCATGTGATCTGACTTTGTGTTGCACTCTTCAGAACGTGGCCTATGCCGCCATGATTGTCCGTTGTCTTGCCATAGATGCGCACGACGTCATCCATGCCGGCTACGGCCAGCTTGAAGACATGCACGTGCCATGCAATGCACCGCACAGAACTGTTTATCCAGTCTCTTTAAATGATTGGTCGTTAATAGGTACACAAGACTTAAATAAAATATTATGAAGTACCTCGTCTCTGCATATTGGGCGATTCGCTCGGCGCTCAGTTGCTGTGTGTGTGGAAATACTTTTAGTTTGAAACTGCTGTAGAGGTCTAGCATTTGTGCAATGAAATCAGCAGCTTTGCTTATTACTGGCGCCTGCTTGCGCGTCTTCTCGCTACGCGCCTCTGCCAACGATTCCCAAAAGCCGCCATCGAAAAAGGTACGCGAAATGCGCTTTGGAACGCTTTCTGTTTCTACCGGTATGAAGCTGTGGCTGATTGAGATGCGGTTAGCTGATGGATTGATAAGTTCGTTCTTTAGATTTATCTTTGGATATAGGTCCAATTCAGGTAAATAGTTATAGCCGTGTCCCACACTCGTTGGCGACGACACCGAAGGAATTTCTTTTAGATTGGTTAACGATGCCATTTAAATTTATTGTGCTTGTTGAATAGAGCTAGTTGACATTTAAGTACTCGTTACTTGTAACGAATATACATAATTTGCAAATGACAACTTATCAATAAAAATTAAATATATCGGAACGAAAAAATTAAATGTAAATATTCGTTTCTGTTTCTGTTTTTATTTTTGTTTTAATCTATTGCCCGTGAGACGAATACTTTCACATACTTTCATATTATTATAATGATTTAAGTTTTCTTAAACATGTCGTTTTGCGAGAGCAATCAATTTAAAAGACGTTTTGCGAACTAGTCATAGCAGTTCAGCTCTGAACTGGTTAGCATCCCTCGTTTTTTCTTTATTGTTTGGCAGCAAACAAATTCAAAACGCGAGCTAAACCTATAAATATTAATAAATAGTGGTCTACTAGTTCGTTTTAACGCTTTACTTTTTCATTTAAGCTGCCATTTTAGGCATGTGAATCGAGGCATTCTATGCTAGAGCATAACTAAGAGCGATTTAGCTTCATTATTTAAGCATTCGTCCAGCAGTTGTTTTTTTTTATTTTTGTTTCGCCTTCACCGCTTAATTTCACAGAATCCCGAACGCGCGCGTCCCGTATAAATCTATATATATAACTTATTGTGGAAAGACAATGCCTCACTCCAACAACCACACAGATAGCACAAATTTTGCAACCGAATTCAAGGGGCTCATCTCCCAGCTCAGGGAGGGCGTTCATCCCAAGGATTCGCAGGAATTGCTCGGTAAATAAGAGAACTCGACTCACTCAACAGCTATATGATATCTTTCTATTTTACTTTCCATTCCCCAGATCGATTGGTGCCACTCGCGCTGCAGTACATACGAAAATGCCCCGATATATTTGATAGTGCACCGCCATTGCCAGAGATAATTTGCTTGGACAAGATTATGACAATATTGGAGGCAAATCCGATATGGGGAGACAATGATAAGCCTGGCTCCGTCTTCCACGAGCATTACGTTGTGGCCTCCTGCGAGGTGAGTTATAGGATTCACTTGTATGACGCACACACCACCCAAACTCTTACTCATATTCATAATAAGAATTGTTCTTGTGGGGTATGATGTTTCCTCAAAATATATGCATGATTAGAGTTGCTTATATTATGCATATGTATTTTTAATTTGACCTATTTCTATCCAAAGACTAAAAGTTGTTTTAAAGCAAAACTATTTTGATTCAATGTTTTGAAAGTTAATCAAACATCAATAATGAGGTTTTAATTTTCCTTAAGTATACATGGATACGGCAAATTTGACTTATTTAGTGGTATTTCCAAGTCATAATTTTAACTTTAATTTTGTTTTCAGATTGAAGATCATCGTATGCGAGATCTGCTAGCGAATCTCATCCTGTTTAGTCTGGAAAATGATACGTCGTATGGAAAGGTGGATTATGGGCAACAGGCGTCAATTTCGCGGCCTAAAACGGAAAGCAAGAACCGTAGCTCGTGCAGTACCACCCTCAAGTCGAATGGCATTAGTCTCAATGGCAACAAGAATGGTGTCTCCGTGAAGCCTAGCAGCTACGACTCGACACAGAATGGCGTTGGACTTGGCAGCGTACCATTGCCCAACTACGTTGTTGAGATAGCAAAACAAAATAACACCAATATCGATTACAATGTTGTCCAGAATGCGATCTATTCGTTTTTGGGCGTACAGGGAAAGTATCTGAAAAAGGACGTTATTACAGGACGCTTTAAACTCGATCCACTCAGCATGCAGTCGATCTCGAGTGTGCAGGCTGGCATGCTCTTGCGCCTTTCCGAACTAGGGTATTATCATGATCGGATCACCAAGTTCTCCAACACAACGACCGGCTATAATGCGATGGGCAGCATGGGTCAGGCGCTAATGGCGAAGCTGAAGCTGGAGCTGAGTGAATTTCATGGCCACGTGGCGGCTTTGCAGGATCAGCTGAACTCGTATCGGGAGACGCAGATGCGAGACTATGTTGATCGCGATAAAAGCTGGTTGGACAGACAGCCGGAGCAGCTTACTCTATTCAAGCTCCTCTGCTGGTATATGGAGCCACTTCGTCGAATGCAATGGCTTACAAAAATCGCTGATGCCTGCCAAATGAAGAAGGGTGGCGACTTAGCATCCGTGATCTATACATTCTTAAATAATGGTGACCCCATGGTCAATAAATTGGCCACAGATCTTTTGACCGTGTGCTGTGCTCCGTTGGTGCGCATGATCTCAAAGTGGATGCTCGAAGGCGGCATCGAGGATAGCCACGGGGAGTTCTTCATCGAATCAATCGACGAGGTCGGCGCCGATCGTCTGTGGCACGATAAGTTCCGTTTGCGCCACAGTATGTTGCCCAAGTTCGTCACACTTGAGCTGGCCGATAAGATACTCAAGACCGGCAAGAGTATTAACTTTTTGCGTGAGATATGCAAGGTAGAGGAAGCTGTTAAGGATCGCAAGGAGCTAAAGTTTGTAATTGATAATCATGGCAAGTATAAATTAAGTCAAGTTATTTTATATCAATCCCTAATTGTTTCTGGCTCGAATTTCTTTTAGTTTCCCACATCTTCTCATATGTCCCGGATACGACCTGGCATGCGGCCATCGAGACGTGCTATTCGCAGACATCCAAACATGTACTGGACATTATGGTTGGGCCACACAAGCTATTGGATCACCTGCAGGGCATGCGTCGGTATCTTTTGCTTGGCCAAGGCGACTTTGTCAGCATATTCATTGAGAACATGAAGTACGTGAAAGAACGAATTATGAAAATGATCCAGTCTGAAAGTTTATTTGAATTCGCAGGGACGAGCTGGAGAAGATTGGCACCGAAATATACTCACATGATCTCTCTGCCATGTTGGATGCCGCTTTACGCTGTACAAACGCCCAGTACGACGATCCAGACATACTGAATCATTTGGATGTTGTGGTCAAAACGCCATATCCCGGCGATTGCGGTTGGGATGTCATCTCACTGCAATACACAGTGCGTGGACCGTTGGCTACTATGTTGGAGCCAGCAATGCCCACATACAAGGCCCTATTCAAGCCGCTATGGCGCATCAAGCACATGGAATTCGTACTGTCTACGAAAATTTGGAAAATACAAATGGGCAATGCCAAGGTGAGTTTTTTTATTTTTTAAATATTAGGCTAAATTATTTATAACTTTTCTTATGAAAACTTATCGATGTTAACACAGAAAGTATCGATACGGGGCGAATTGCCGATGAATCAAAATAGATCATTGTGTATGGTAGGAGGAAGCTATGAGTCTAGAGATCGAGGTGTAGACTTGATTGAATACAATGTGATAAGACAGCTGCGTTGAAACATTCTACCCTTCCAGGTACAACGAGTGCAGGGTATATGTGTAATAAAGAAGACCAAATGTTAATTGCGAGCTATAAGCCCCCACCTCACAATTTAAAATTAAGCAGTTTTGTTATGGATAAGATTAGCTCGCAATCTAATCCGTGTCATTGAAAATTGCTAAGGCACTGCTGCACACTTGCCATTGCCGTCCTAAGTTATGATAAGGGCTAGGCTATCGGTATCCGGGTATCGGGGAGTGGGTTTAAAGTACACATTCCTGTTCCATATTAATTGCTGGCTATTTATACATACATATACATATATCTTTGTATGTGTATATATTTAATGAAATAATAAAATAGGCACAGATTCCTTTTCTAGGCTTATGTATTATTTTCTAATTACACATAGTATAAACATACAAAAAAAATATAAGAAACAGAAACACACACATTGTGGAAATACGACTGGAGTATCGCAGTTATGATAACAACAAAAGTAATGTGCGATTACGAACAAACGTGCAAAACGTAGAAACTGGGTTTTGTTGTGAAAGCGCCAAATGCCAATTTACAATTTGGCGTCCGTTTTCAGCAGAGGCGCCAGTTTTTGGGTCAACATGATGTTGCCGGCAATCTTCAGCTTGCCTTTCATGAACGCTGCCTGGGGATTGAGTTTGCCAAGGGCAATGTCAACCATGTCCTCGTCGGAAACCGTCAGTGTGGTGTCGACCTTGACGCCTTGGGCAGGTCCCTCGTACGCCTTGGCGCTCTTGCAGTCGAGAGCTGTAAATGAAGTTGAGTTAAGCAATTAGATTTTCAAGTTAGCTCGGCAGCTGTTGAGATGGTAGCAGCCGGGTCTGAAGTACGCGCTATTTGTCTGCACTTTGAACTTTGCCAACACAGACGTGTATTTGGCAGACGTGAATATTGAGCTTAATTACTTACTCCACTCCTTGACCACTTTTCCGTCCTTAGTGATTTTGTACAAAAATACTCCATTGACAGCCTTTGCTTTGGCAGCATTATCCTTCAGTCCATCGATGATTTTCTGGAACACGGCGTCCGATTGCAACGACATTATGATGCTTGCTTTATTGAACTATGCTTTCTTTAATTAAAAAATAAAAAGCAACAAATAAGTGTTATTCGTATTGCGAAATTGAATTTAACAGGGCGTCAGAGTGCTTACACCTGAAAGGAAAAACGTCAAATAATGAACAAACAACGGCAATCGTTGATATTTATGTGCTTTTTCTCTTCTAATTTTGCTTTGCTCACGTTTTCTCCCACTCGATACTCATTCATTTCCTAACTCTCTCACACACACACACGCAACTAATAAAAAAATCGATAGTCTGCGTTGGAGTTTGCACTCTCTCGCTCTGTCTGTCTCTCATTTGGCGTACTGTTAAATAACATGAGCACAACTGTTGGTGCTCTGTATTCGCTCTGTGCACTGTACAAAGCAGTGCTGCCAACTTTTTACCAGAATAAAAAGCTGTTTTTAGATGGAAGAAACGGAAAAAAAAGCTGAAAATTTTTACAAAAAAGCCTAAAAAAAAGCGGTTATTATAGTT